CCGATGTAATTTTGAATGTAGCTGTTACCACTATTACACTTAAAGTGTGTAGGATTCAGTGGCATCTTACGAACTGAAACTTTTCTCATTCGTGTCTTGGCCTTTTGGCTAAAATCAAATGTAGTATCTGTCCTTATCAGTTTAATATTTAATATGTCCTCTGTAAGGGTATGATATTTTGCAAATGTCCCCGCTGTGGGGCGAATAAAGGACTATCTTATCTCTCTTACTTTATGTGCCTCATGCAAAAACACGAAAATGGAGTTGACCCGAGTTTGAGCCAGAGTTTGATTTGTCCATTCAGGGCCACTGTTTAAACAACATGGAGGACTCCGTGGAAGAGGATGTATGTAGATATAGACAGCTCATTCTTTTTTTAAAGATTATTTTTATTGTTTTTTTTGCCAGGACAGAAGGTGAAATGGGGAGACAGAGAGAGTGGGCACTGACATGCAGCAAAGGGCCACAAGCCGGATTCGAACCCGCGGCAGCTGCAGCCAGGCAATGCCTCTTTACATGGGGCTCTGACACTATCCACTACGCTACCGACGCCCCGACAGCTCATTCTAAGGTAAAGAAAAAGCAACAATTATTATTTTCAGTGGTTATGAACTTAGATGCCACATAGTTATAAATATTATATACAATTTCTACCAATAGATGCACCTAAATCCTACACACTGGACCTTTAAGGTTACCTTGGAGATGCAACAAAATGTCATCAAGAGCTGTGCTGTTGTTCATAATTGATTGATTGACTGATAGTCATTGTGGCTTCCATCACCTGTCAGTGAGAATCTGTCATTTGTTTGCGGCTCAGTCAATGTGATGAACCTTCCGCTGCACAGGATTGTGGGTCAGGACAGCCAGAAAAGCATGCTGGCTTGCACACTGCACATTGTGACCAGATGCAGTAAGACATCCTGGTATTTTTTGACATACCATATATTGGGACATTTTTTTGTCTGCCATTCTAAATAGTTTGGTAGTATGGGTGTTGGAACATATCAATAGTCCCAGTGGTCCACAGGAAGGGGAGGGACATGTAGCTCACTGCCTCCTCAAAGATGGTGAACTGATGGTGAGAGTCATATTGCACTGATTGCAATATCTTCTCTTCCAAGACCTGTGGGTGCAGTTGTATAGGGAGGCGGCTGGAGAGATTGCTGTCATGGTAACATTGTGACATATGATTCACAGCGTTGTTGCTTCTCCTTCCTCTTTTCATCCTTCCTTTGCTACTTTTATTTTAGAGACAGAGAGAGGTCAGTCTGCTAGTGTACTCTCCTGTTGTTGCCTTGACCCCTAATAAATCCTAGTAGTTCACCGTAGATAGACATTTTAAAAAATAATGAACTTCACTAGGAAAAAAAATGGATCACTTTAATTTTTTATGCCTTTATTTTCACAAAAAGCAGTGAGCTCTGCTTCTCCTCCAACAAATACACCATGAATAATAGACTGATTTGCAGTTCAATCTAAAAAGTGACATCTCACATTGAGAACATCATGTATAATTAATGCATCAAGCTCTCTCTGTTAGATCTGTCTTTGTACTCTTACATAAGTTTAATGACCTGATTTCCATTAGAAAATGCCAGACAGTGAGATCATCTATAACCTTGAGAGTCTCATTGAATAAATTAATCATTCAGATTTTATGAATGCACTTGTTGCTTCGCAGTGTGTGTTTGAAAGCGAGTTAGATTTCATGGCGGTACATCCTGTGCGTCCCCAAGCAGCACCTGCAGTCTTTGTGCTCCTGCTAAATTACATATTACTACCTTTCACCAGCACTACATTAAAATTACTTTGGCCTATTCGTACAATTATGGATTTCCACTGCCAGCACTTTGCTTTTACATGTGTGAGTAACTAATAACACAGCTTTAACTCCCTAGCACAGTGATTCACAATGGAGGAAACAAACTCAGGTAATTCAGCACCATTCAGGGATCTGAATAATCAGGAGCCATACCGACTGCACAGACGACAGGGACAAGGGGCAGTGAAAATTTCCACCAGCTGCTGTCCGGGACTGATATTTGGAGGAATACTGTCCGAGTTCATACATAGGCTGTTAGGTTACTAGGTTACTAGATTTAGCTAGGCTGTATCCTGTTGTTCCTTTATGGCCTTTCATTTTCCATACAACAATCAATGATTAACTAACCTGGCTGTCACAGGCTGCAGGTTGATATCTCATAATGATAAAAGATATTCTGGTTTTAACCTAACTTTGAATATGGACTTTAAATAACAGACTGTGATTACAAATTTACACTGGAATTAACTCAATACCTTCACTCAATATACTGCAGATGGAGTGTGAGAGTTTTACAATATATATTTTCTACAGAATTTATGAGGTTCTTACTGTAACTGTATCACCTCCTGTCTGTTCTAAAAATAAAAGGGTTTTGTTGTGTGACTGGTGTCAATATGATTGCAAGGAATACGGGAAAATTCTGTTTAGTGTATAAACAGTTAGATCCTCATTTGGCAGACTTTATGACACAGATATCCCATCTTGGGAAAATCCCTTGTAATCTTTTTAATAGCTTTTCCATGTGGTAATAATATAAAAAAAACACCCTATTTTTATGCATGGTTGGTCATGGGACTGCTAAGCAGGTTCCTCTCATGGACGCCATCCTGCAAATAACAGCATTGGCTCCAGATGTCACATGCAGTAGTTAGTGGTCACAGAGACCTGCTAAATGTTTCCACCCAATGTGAAAGGATCTCTCTCGTCCTACTTCTTTATGTGTTACACAAGAAGAGTGAGGTGACCAGCTCAGTCTTGAATCTAAGGATCTTTGATTGTAGCAATCTAACAAGGGACTATTTTTACTGCTGTTTACAAGGTCAATTTACAGCAGGTAGCTATTTGATAAAAGGGACAACCAGAAAAACTGAGTCCACACTCTTGAGCCAGTTTTGTATTAGTTTGTAGAACTATTTGGTTTGTGCTAACTCAATTACTCACAACTCTGCTTGTTAAAATACACCATGTAAGCACATTACATAGTATACTGAGACAAAAGGCCCTTAAAACTAGATTTGAACTAAAGGCCTGTCTACAACATGGGGCCTCAAGATTAGGTGTTGGCAGATGTTGCCTTCAAGTGGAACTGCCCATTTTCAGTCCAAAAATATTAGTAAATATCAATCCAAATCCAAAAACAAGAGTGCTAAAACCATAGACTGTAAAAATAATGGACGTAGTAACCGTGACGTCACCCATTAGTTCATGGACTTGGGGGTCCAGGTGTCACCATATTTGGGTGAGAGGCTGATGCTGTGGAGGATGGATCTAACTGAGAAGCCAAGGACACTATCCAAGGACACCTGCCACTCAAAGCAGTTGCCCTCAATTATGCATAACTTTAAGCCCTGATAAAATGTAAACGGTTGAGTTCTATAAAATTCATCCCCCGTATCGTTTTTGTAACAGGCTATAAACATGTTTATTTCTGCTGTACAGTTGGGCATTTTGTGTCTATGGGGATTGACTGGCTTCCGGAGCCAGCCTCAAGTGGCCAGGCACTTCCATGTTCATACTTCATTTTCCAGTCCTGGAGGTTACAATTTGACTAAAACCCAAATTTGTGATGTCATAGGGTATGAAGTCTGGAACTGCTCCATTGACAATGACTTTGGGAAAGATCTTATAGATGATGCTGACTGCATCCACAGCAATATTCTAAATATATGGGTACATTTTCAGTTTCAAAACTGAGAACACTATAATAGAACAAAGCTCATTTGGGTATAAAATGAAAATAAAAGAAAACAAACATTTTGTGGGTCCAAGAAATCAGGCATCCATTAATTGTCAACAGAGCAGCTCCAGACCTTATATCCTATATCCTATAGGCCTATAGTTTTGAGAGACAGTAGCTCATGTTCACAGAAATTGATTGAACTTTCCTCAGTCATGGAAATAATCTACTGGAATTTTTTATTGTAGGTGGTGTTCCCCTTTAAGGTCCCATGTTAGTGTACATGGTCATTATGAAAAAATGCAGTTAGTTAAATAGACAGTATCTTCATTTCCTCTGTACATGATTGCACTTTGTCATACCTTTAGTGTAATGAACAGACAGATATATTTTAGTTTAACTTTTAAGAGAATATGTTGCTTTTTGGATTAGTTGCACCTACACCTGAGAAGGTGCCAATTCTTAAACCTCTATTTCCTTGTGATTGTTAACACCTAAGTTTGTTGCCAGTCACAGGTTTTTATTTTATTTTATTGAGAATGAATCATTTACAAAACATATAGACATACAAACCACAATGAACACCTCTCAACCTACAAGGCACATTTAACATAAAGTAAATAACATAAATGATAGTGAAAATAAAATAATTAAAATAAATAGGCTAAAGCTAATTAATAGTTCTGCACAATTTCTCTAGGGTCCTCAAATATTTTCAGTTTTTCATATGCTTTGAGGAGAGACTTTGTATGTTTTTTTTCCCATTAGTCTCAAAGCACTAAGGTGATTGTCCATACGAGTCTTTTTAAAAACAGAGAAAAGGGGCTTTGTGTTGTAGCAGCAACTTAGGGCTGGAGCCTTATACAGTCTATGGCTGGAGCCAGCTAATCTTGGGAACGTAAACTTAAAATGCAGCTAATTTATTATCACAACAAATCATCATACAGTTTAGCTTATGTGCATTTTCCATTTTATGTCCCAGTAATTAAGTCATTACTGTTCTGTTGCAGATGCTAACAGGAAGCTAAGCTACCGGAAGTTAGCAACTGTGCTGGGAAACTGAATGACTGGCATTAGCTCTGTTTTGTCTTCAGCTGAAGCATTTCTTTTTTTGTTGTTGTTTATCCTAGTTTACTTCAAATACTTGCACTCCATAGCTAGTTTGTGATTCAAAACATTTCAATCAAGGTTCGTAATTATCATTTTAGTCGATGGTGTTGTTAATTATTTTGAAAGTCTAACCGGAAACAGTATTATTGTTGTTCCTCCTGGACGTTCTGGACGTTTTTACGTCAACGTAATGGATCTATGACAAAGCTACCCGTGAGGTAGTGGCCCCCGAAACATGTCTCTTATCCCCTGGGTTGACATACCGAGTATGACCGGGGATGGGAACCTCCCTGCCGCCTAAAGCAACCGTTTACTTCACTGCAGCGAGTCAACGGGAGCGTTAAAACAAACAGAGGTAACCGCGCTGTTTATTCAAGAGAAGATGGCGGAGTTTTCGCCTGTCCTGCCGATGCGGGATGGAGGAGGACGATTTGGTCAGCCCATCTTCCCTCGGTCCAGATCCGGCTCCGAGTCAGAGAGCGAACTGTCCCAGAGTCTGGCCCGGACCAAGATCCGCTCGTACGGAAGCACAGCCAGCGTCACGGCCTCTCTGGGGGAGAAATACATAGAGCATCGGGTTACAGACAGTGATACCCTCCAAGGGATTGCTCTCAAATACGGTGTTACGGTAAGGTTGCCACACAACCACTGCAATGTTAGCTCGTGCTTTGATGTTCACCTTGACAAGAGGATCTGATGGAATATGAAATCAGTGTTAATGCATTTGATCAGTCCTCTCTGACAGATGAGGGAAGCCAAACACAACATCATCTGTTTTCTCTATCATGTGGGCATCACGTTCACTCCTGAATTCATTGATCTGTCACGACACTGATGTTTGATTTCACTTTAAAGTTAAATCTGACCCCAAAATATCACAGTAACGCCTTTGAGCACTCAGGGTTATATTGATGCTTTTCAGAAATGTTGCTGCAGCATCCTTTAGGCCTAGTGAAGGAGGATGTGACCTAACACTTGAAAGGGGAACTCTTCATGAATTAAGCATCCCAGTACTTCCCAATGTACTCATACACCCAGAACATTCCCCTGGATGCCCCTTATGTCATCAGACATCTTTCCCAATTAATTGTCCTTGGAGCAGTTTCAGACTGTGTACTTTATGATATCAAAAATTTGAGTTTTAGCCGTCTAGTTTTTGGATTTGGGAGAGATTTGTTCATGTTTACTGATATAATTGGACAGTCTTAGACCATAGGAATGACATGTGTGAAATGTGAAAGTGGGTGTAGTCCTCATCTAAAACTATTTCTGTATTTCACTTCACCTTGTGGGAATAGTGCTCACTTCCTGATTCTACTCTCATTTTCACAAAGTGTCAACATCACTGAGGTGAAAGGCGTGACAGTTCTAAGAGCACACAATAAATATAGTAGGAGTATGATAGGTGGAGAATGGGGGCAGACAGTATTCATTACAGCTAATTGAAAGTGAAAGTATTGTCAAGTTTGTATGCATACTTCAGCCAAGGCTGGACTGCCCCAGAGCCCAAGTCACCCTGACTCATTGGCCCAAAAGCCCAAGGTTCACTGGGTGTTATTAGTTGTCTAGAATTTAATTAAAAGAGCAGTGTGTAAGACTTAGGGGGATTAATAGGCATCTAGCAGTGAGGACTGCATACTGCAACCATCTGAAACTTCAACAGGTTAGAATTCAGTTTTCACTTGTACAGGGAGTTTTACTGGGAGCCGAATTATTCAGAGGTCTCTTCCTCTCCAAAACAAATGGACCTGGTGATTTACACAGGTAAAAACACCAATTTACCAATGCTCTCATCGTGGAGTGTCTGCCAACTGCGATGACCGGCACAAAAACGAGAATGGGATTGGGGGGGGGGGATCTATACAGCATAGCAGTGTGATATTTTTGTGTGGCATCACATAGTGCAAAGTATCGATTGTTTAATGATATAAATTATTAATGTGACAAATACAAATTAAACTCTTGGTAGCCTACTAGAATAATATAATCAATAGCTTTTTTAGTCTACCAGATACATTTTGCATTTGCAAAAACTGGCTGAATGAACAGACTGAAAACTTAATCTTGTTAGATAAAACAGATGGTGACAAAGTTTTGGTTTAGGGACATAATTTACAGTTGGAAAAAGGGAATAAATCTCAGCATATCGCAACATATTTAAAGTCGCAGCAATATTGTGTTACGACTTAAGTATCGTGATAATATCGTATCGTGGATCCTCTGGTGATTCACACCTCTACGATCTAGTGCCCGTGTCTGGTTTGCCCATTCAGGGCTACTGTTGAAACATGCGGCACAAAGGGCGATCTCTGTAGATGAAGACCTGCTCCCTATAGTATATAACAGCTCATTCTAAGGTAATGAAGGCACAACTTATTATATTCAGTTTCTGCCAATATATCCCTTGAGATCCTACACACTGGACCTTTAAATGCACACTTTTATTTGCAACAGTATTTGTTGAAATTGGTCCTACATTACATTCCAAAACATCAGAAGATTGCCCCAGGGACCGCTAACTCATTAATCAAGCCATCTTCGGATACTGTCTAGGAATCGATTTCATTTTAGAAAATCGTCTAAATTCTACTTTATTCTTATTTTGAAAGAAGTATTGCATATCCACCTGCCCTGAGCCATCAGCTGCTGATTTGAGGGGAGAGTCGACCCTGAACACAACATCTTGTGAAATGTTATTTTCTTTTTACTGTTTTTTTAAAATGTAATATTAATTAGTGTTGATCAGAAGCTAAATTTAAAGACAGATTTGCATAGTATTCCAAGTTCATTGAATTTTGCGTGCTCAAACAGCTGCTAACTAACTTAATCTCTAACTCTAATCCCAGAGTAGAGAGTTTTAATGCAGAGTTTGTGTCCTAAGAGGGTTTCAGTGCTGTGTAGACAATTTCTCTGTAGTTAAAAATGCACGTATGATCTCATCCTTTTGGCTCACTTGCAAGGAAAAAGATTTTAAGACTGACTGTTGTGGACAAATAAGCAAGTTCATATGTTTATATCAGTGACACCGCATATTTATAGAAGGTGTTATAAGATGATTCGGTCTGCAGGTCTCAGCTTAAGTGCAAAGGATCAAAACAGGGAGGGTGGTAGCTTAGTCATGGACATGATACTATTTTAACACTGTCATTTATTTCTGTCAACCTGATATGCCAGATGGAGCAGATCAAGAGAGCCAACAAGCTGTTCAGCAACGACTGCATTTTTCTGAAGAACAGCCTCAACATCCCCGTGGTGTCGGAGAAGCGCTACATATTTAACGGACTGTCTCTGGAGTCTCCCGACGGGGACGGCGACGCAGCCTGCCAGGAGTCAGATACACCTTGTGTTATGTTGCAGGATATCGAGGGACCCTCGCCGCCCCCTTCCCCGCCCCCCGAGGACTCCAAACCCCCCCAGCCAGAGGAGCTGTCAGCCAAAGACTTCTTACACAGACTGGACTTGCAAATTAAACAATCAAAGCAGGCAGCACGCAGGCTGAAAGAGGAGGAAGTCAGGTGAGGTGGCAGAAAACCCACAACCAAACTGCTGCTGCTTTTATTTCCTGTTGATGAGTACAAACTTTCAGACCAGGCTGTGAATGCTCATCGTTTTTTTTGTTTGACAAAGCCAACATCCACACTAATATGTTTTTGTTGAAAGCGCATAACTTTTGCTACGTTTATGCCTAGCTCCCACACTACGCTCACGTTTCCGACCCCTTAAAGAGACCTTTGGAAATGTTGCTGACACCGTTTTAGTTTGAAAACTCTATGATTGTGTTTTCTGGACAGGCGGTAACAGAGACTTTTGAAAGTGATGATATAAACACCCATCTTTGTTTTCTGATTGGGTCTTATCAGTCACAATGTGTCAAGCTAAAACATTACAGCTAAGCCTATATACCTTTCGTGATTTCATCCTTTTTGTGTGGGTAACATTATCCTTCCTCCAGGGATGGATAATGTTCCTGATTTAGCTCTAATACTGTACGTTTACATACTAGCTGTGCACCAACTACCAATCTATGTTTTCTGCCCTCTTACTGCCTCATGTGTTGCTTTCAGTAATAGTTTCACTCTTTCGCCAGTCCAAGCAAAAAAATCCCTGTTTTTACTTTTCGCCATTGCCGTTCTTCCTCCATACTATTTTCTGTAGCTGAGCAACCAGCCGCAGAGTATACAACCTGCTTCCTGTTTACACCGGCAAGCGCAGGCCCATTGTCTGTGCATGGTCATGTGAAATGCCTTTTCAGGAGTGTTAGCAAGTGGGCAGGAAAGTAACAAGGATGGAGGTTATTTCGGAAATGGTGCTAAAATGCTTGTGTGTATGGAGGTTGGAGATGTTTTAGAATGAAAATGTATTAGTACGGATGTAGCCTAAATTAAAGTAACAGTCAGTTTTATAAATATTAGGCTTTAACAGTCATTAAATAGTCTTAAGTTTGAATATGTGAGGTCAAAAATGCAGTCAACATTTTGTCTAATGTCATCTATCCATCTTTAACTTTCTTTTTGTCAAAATTAATCAAGCTCTTTTGTGTGAAAGTCAACATTTATGGCATTACAAATCTTTGAATGCACCACTTAACTTAATACTTAATACCTGCACTTACCTGTTGGCAAACGGTCGATGAACCTAACTCACTCTAATAATCATAAAACCTACCCCTGCACAGGACCACATATATGTAATACTTACCTCTATACTTAGATTTAATGATTTAATAAGAAAAAGGTAATTTGTCCAAAAATCAGTCTTAAATTTCTTCTCAAAAAAGGTCTTAAAAAGCATTAAATGTAAGTGTCTGGCATCTGCAGACACCTTGAATAAGTCCCCCGGACCAGTCATTCCCTAAGGGTCCACTCAGGCCTGTGTTTGCTCAACATGTCAACCAATCAGATGGTGTGTTTTGTAGGTTTTAGATCTGCCTGTTGCCCTTTACAAATGATGGATACCTGCAAAAGGTGCTTCTTTTTCTTGGTTAAGATAATGTTAAGATAAAAGCTGAGTAATTTCTGGGTTTAATAGAAAGGACATTGTCGGACGTCCCAGTCAGCAGGAACAGAGACAGGGAAGTGCAAATTTTCCCACAGAAGGAGGATCGAAGATAGGAATCAGGGCTTCACAGACCTGCTGTACTAGTCAGATGCCACATTATGCAACAGTCAAGTATTTAGCGGCCAATTTGGCTCGCTGAATCAGGCCTGAGCATGTCTTCCTGACACTGCATGTTGAGGACACAGAAAATTGGTACATCTGCTCAGTAGTGAGGTAGTAATGGACGCCTGGCATGCTCCCATTCGTAGACAAACAGCCGTTGTTGGTACTATCAGTTTAGTCAGGACTGAGTCACACTGCAGCAGTTTCCTCTACAGACAAGAGCATAAATTGTTTTTCCACTTCAGGCTCTCGAAACATGTTTTGCTCATGCTACAGTGGAAACAGGTGCTACTGCAGCAGCCATTATGTTAATTTACTTCCCGTTGACCTCGGGATGACATTACCTGACTGACTTGGCAGCTGCTCTGACATCAGCTGTCCTTTGTCTCTGATTTCTGTCATACACTGGTGGTCTGAAACCAGGTTATAGCTCTCTAATTACTCCTGAAAGAATACAACTAAATGGTTCATACCATATTAGATCAATATAAGGCAACCACAGAAGAATATGTTTCTTACATCCTGTTGATTTGATTTTGATTTGGTATTATATTATGATCTAGTATTTGACATCAAAGTGCCAGAAAGAAACTCACAAGGCAATGCATTGTGCTGTCTTATTTATGAATAAAAAAAATCATGACAGAATTAAAACTATTTTAACATCATGTGATAAACAGTTAATACTTGCTTGGTGTTTAAATTATAAATGCTGTCTGTCAGATAATACTGTTGCAAGTATTTCATTATTATATGACCCTCCGATTGCACCGCATTTCCTGTTCATTTTCTCATGATGTGCCAGTAAATCCAGACCTGCGTTTTGTTTTCACAAAGGCGCACGAGCCTTGAGTACATGCGTGAGACGAAGTTTTTAATTTCTCAATAAATGTTTACCTACCAGCTGAGGTAAAGCCCAGCTTTGTGTTAGGCTCCGACTCCAAGCCACGTCAAAGGTTGGCCCGTGGAGCTGCTATGTGTTCAGACAAACAGAGGCTCACTCCGTTGTTTCCACACGGTCTCAGAGCAAACACAGACTGCATGCCTGTTTGGCCTCATCCCTTAAATGGAACAAACCACAAACCTCATACACCAAACTATAGGGGAAAGTGGACTGGTCGATATATTACCTTAAGCAGACCATAGAGTATATCTATATATCCCGTATATCTGATATCACTTTTTGGATTTATGTTATGAAGGTTTTAGCCTGAAAACTTGATCAGATTATTCCACAAACTCAGTCAGTACTGCACAATCTGCTAATTGTTGTCACTTACATTTTTCAAAGCAAAAGTAAAAAAAAGATTATAAAGGATGATAAAAGGAAAAGATTATATGGATAATAAGGTTAAAAAAAAGAAGAAACAGCTCCTTACTCCTTGTAATCTTTGTTATGCCGAATTATATGCAGGAAAGAAGTTAAGATTTTTGAGTTGGATCAAGAACCAAAAAGTCTTAATGTAACAGAGGATAGACAGATTATGGAAAATCCTTCTGTTTCCACAAGTAATCTAAAACAAAAGAGTTTGCCAGCTTCAACTCATCAAGCAGGTCACTCCAAAATCTGGAGGCCCTCGAAGGAAACACTCAGTTACTTCTGACTCTGTAAACAAACCCTTATTCAGCTGCTAAAGAAGATTTAATGACAGAATTTCCAGACCCAAATCACCAGCAAAAATCAACCGGTTGCTCCTTAAACCTTGCTCTCTACCAAACATCATGTAAATTTTGATGTAGATAGAGAGAGAAATATCCCATTGAGAGACAGACCAACTTAAAGAAGGAGTTAGGGTGAATTATTTTCTTAAAGATGGCTATAAACAGCAGAAATATGAGGGATTACACAAGTTTGCACTAGATCCATGCAAGAAATGAGTGAATTTGCAGTCTGTTGGAACAACTCCCAGTTTCCATAAATGGTCTCTTGAAGAGCAAACAGCATCGAGCACTTAATAGCTGATTCTTCTTAGTTTAAAAGATTGATCCGGTCATCCCTCTGGATGTTCTCTAGTCAAAGAAAACCTATAGCTCTGTAGCAACATTAGTTTAGCCTCCTAACTTTACTGTTCTCTCTTCAATTTTTCCTGCAGACTCATGGTTTAAAACTTTCCTCTCTGTCTTCTATTGATTTTGATCTTTTGATAAATCTCCTCCTGCTTAATTGTAATCCTTTGCAGCTGGACTGTTCTCTCAACCCTGGTGAAAAGTTTGAACAGTAGCGCTAAAGAAAAAGCTTTTGTAAAAGAGTGGCCACTTAACAGCAAAAGTTAAACTTCATGGTTAAGCTCAAGACAGTGTATTGTACTGAGAGGCCAGATGAGCCTTCAGTTGTGACGGAGAAGAATACGGCTGTTTGGTTAGCCTCATCCATTATTCACACACACTGCGCTTACCTAGACGCTGCGGTGGAGGGTAAACGAGTTAAGCGTGTGTGTGTTTGCTATCATATGAAACTGTTTTTCCACTGTGGAAAATTCCATGAAACTAAAGGTTGTTTATCTTTTTCTCATTTGCAGAAACAAAGAGGAGGACTACACGGCCCCCACATCGTCATATCAGGAGATCTAAAGGACCAGTCCGTTTACAACACACACACACACACACACACACACACACACACACGCTCAAGCACTACCACAACCCCATGTCTTTTGTTTTCTCTTTACCTTTTTGCTTTCACCAAACCTCGTTGAACAAAAGCGTCATGTTTGCCTTTTATTTATTGATATGCAATTATTACGATGTATATGATTGTCATTGTTGCGTACAGTTCTACTCGGAGACTTAATGGTGCGGGGGAGCATCTGATGTAAATAGCATCCGAGCACATGTGCCCGTCCACTCGTCATACGCTTCTGAAGCTGCTGTACAGAACCCACCTGCTGCATATGTTCACACACATACTCTCTCACACACACAGCGCTCAGCAATTCCAGAGGGATTAGCCTGTTAGACTCGCTAACCGCTTCGGATGTACTAAATCCCCTCCTAGAATAGTATCATTGGAAAGTATATTCAGGCCTTCCTCATCAGTGTTTACCCTGTATGAGCACACTCCACACAGAAGCGGTGGATGGACTCAAGCCTTTGAACATTTGCCTCATAGAAGCTGTTTTCTTTGGGAAAAAGAAGGGACTGCTCTATTTTTGAAGTGTGAATGCATTATTTATGTGTGGAGAACTGTCTGTAACAGCTGTTTTATTGTGCTTTTAAATTCTGTGGGTTTTATTTGGGGAGAATAAATATGTAATTAAAACAGATGTGAAGTGTTTTGATGGCAGTGCGGGTTCTTGTGGCAGAGGTGGATGAAGTACTCAGATCTTTTAGTTGAGTAAAAGTAATACTACAGTGTAAAAAATACTCTGATACAATTTAAAGTCCTGGAAAGTAGTAGCATAAAAATATACTTAAAGCACCAACAGTAAAAGTACTCATCATGTACAATGGCCAATTTCAGACTCATATATTCTATAACTGAATTATACAAAATACTCAAAAATGAAGTGACTAGTGACTAAAGCCTTAAATAAATGGAGTAGAAGTTGATTGTAGCATAAAATGGAAATACTCATTAAAAGTACCGGTACATCCAAACTGCACTTAAGTACATTAATTAAGTCAATGTACTTAGTTACACTCCCCCACCGGGCAGAGGCAGGACCAAGTCATTGTTTTGCAAGTCACAAATAAGTCTCTCCATTCAAGTCACAAGTCAAGTCCCAAAATCAAGACAGATCTCCACTCAAGTCATGTCATACAGTGGAAATGGTATATATGATATATGTTTTCAGTAGAAATGGTAAATTTTACATTTCATTTTTACTGAAAAAAATGTTTTAAAGATAATGATGATGATGTAAAGCATGTTCCCTTCCATCTGGAATATGATGGGGCATCTCTGTAACACCACAGTGCTTCACTTAAAAAAAGTTTGTTATGACACATTTCACCAAAAACTGCAGCTCCTGCAATTTGATACTGCACTTGGCCATACTGCAATTGTGCAGCCCCAGCCACGAGTCATTGGTGTTGAAAGTCGAGTTGGAATTCTTTTTGGATTTTGTTGAGTTGAGTCTAAAGCAGGAGTGTCAAACTCGTTTTAGTTCATGGGCCACGTACAGCCCAATTTGATCTCAAGAGGGCCGGACCAGTAAAACCACTGCATAATAACCTATAAACAACAATCTGTTAAGATCTTTCAGTTTATAGTGTAAAAACGTCCATTGTGAAAACGTTCATCCATTTAAAAAACAAATGATGAACAGCCTGAGATATCCTCAGAAAAATATTCAGGGTTCCACGCATATAATTTTAAGATCTAAGTCTGATACAGATTATTTTGTACTGAAGCTGCTACTTTACAATATGTTGCACAATGTTCAATATCTGCAAACATGACCACAGTAAGTATGCATTGTTTTATTCAGAGAACTGTATTCTGGTCAGTGTGGAAAAGCCTCTGAGGCAGCATTTTAGATTTAGTATCTGCTCACTGTTTAAATTGCTCATTAAACCTGGCACATTTTAGCCTTCACAAGTGCATCAATATTGTGTGTGCAAAGTCATCTAGTGGGCCAGATTGGACCCTTTGGCGGACCAGTTCTGCCCCCCTGGCCATATGTTTGACATCCCTGGTCTAAAGTCATCAAACTCATGACTTGACTTGATTCCACAGCTCTGGCCTGTGGATGTCTGTTAGAGGTGTTTTTTTTCTCCCAGTGCTGCATCATCGTCACATTTCAGTACACAGATAAAGAAAAGGCAATGTTTTAATTGCTTTTAAACTTTAGGAAAAAATCACAAATATTTACATTTAAAAATACTTATCCGTAGTCTCTACAGAGATGGAAATGTTGAACTCACAGAGACATGCAGAGAGAGTTGATGATACAAACACGGCCCCCTAGTGGGCCCCCAGAAGAATTACAACAGAACATAGCAGGAGTACGGAGGGCACTGACATGATGCACGACAAATATATTTTTGGTAAAATAAAAAGCAAGAATACATTAAGATCTCACATATACACTGGAAAATAAAGAAATATAATAGGCTATGACAGGTTACACAGAATGAGTACAACTTGATATATGTGCATTTTGTTGCAAAAAAAAAAAAAGTTGGAACCAGTTGATGACAAAGCTACAGCATCATACTCTCATAACATTCATTTCCCACAGGAGTCAGGTTGGAGTAAATGCTAGCATGTAGTTGGACGTGTGAGTTGGTTACATAAAATACTTTGATTTCTCTCTCAATAATATTCTAGTGATTATTACTCTGCGATCTTGGCGTGCAAATATAATCAGTTAGGTAGCTGTAAAGAATCATTTGACTGTTTTGTTGGTAGTATTATTAAATCCCTTCTCTTGATACGTTTTGGGAATGTCTAAGAGGGTAAACAAGATCCCCTAAGCAGGTAGTTTTGAATACACAGTATATATTTTACCATGCCATGGGAAGTAACTGTAAATAGTCGGGGTTTTGATTGAGATGTTAATGTCAGATTCAGTCCTGTGTTTTAGGCCAGAGGTCGGTTGGAGGATGGGTGACAGCGTTACAGGCTGCTGTAGATCCTCTTGATGGTGTCGCCCTCGTCCTTGGCGATGATGCCCTTCTCGATGTAGGAGTCAACCTGCTGATCCATGAAGTCCTTCAGTTTGGACAGATCATAATCTGAAAGGAGAAAACAAAAGAGGGTTTTTTTTAATCTGAGATTCAAAGAGAAAAGATCGTGAAGCCATGGTGGCTGGCAGGAAAGATCAGACATTAAACGTCTTAAGGCGGCACACCCAAACAAGCCATAATCTGGTGCGGTAGTTCATTATCAAGGAGGATTAAGGTCAGAGTTAACATGTTTGTCTGAGGTTAAGAGCACACCACATATGTAATAAGAAGGCCAGAAGATCAGAGTGATACATCTTTTCAAAATTATACTTCTTACAATGAAATGATTCTTAGAATTCAGTCGGCTGTTGGTGAGCACCTGTCACTCTAGTTGTTGCAGTATGTTGTTTTGGCAGGTTCCACATGTTGAACAGCGTCAGAAACGTTGGAGCCCATTGGTTAATTAAATCACTCTGATTGGCAGTTCAGCTAAGCGCACCAGAAGAGAAACCAAGGACAGGAAAGCAAACAAGCGGCTAAAGTCAAGAGGGCATAAGATGGAATCAAACTTGAAAAAATCCCCTGCAGCCCAAAACGCGTTTTCTCCACAGGCCTCCATTGTCAAAGAGATGTCTGTGAAACTGTTGACAGGACACCTCTAACTGCAGACAAGCTCAATGATGACTCTTGCTATTATGATTTTTTTTTTATCCATGGAAGTTTTATATTTGTAAAACTTTCCTTAAGCCCAGAAAAGTGATGTTAAAATCCTTGATGTCATCACATTATAAAGTCTGTAAGATGAGCAGGAATTTGAGGGCAGGCTAGGGAGAAACACTACTGCGCATATTCAGTGGGCCGGATACCATGGAAATAAACCCAGAAACTAGAAACTCTTTTTGGTGTATGTGCCAGGCGAGCAATTCCATTGGACTGGATCCAGTCATTATCATACATGTGGGGAGCATATCTATGTTTCCCGGGTTCTATGTTCCCCACTCAACCCTGCAAAAAAGGTTTCTATGTTCCCCACTCAACCAAGTGGAAACACCCTTTTTGTGTAAGCGGGGAACATAGCACCTTTTTTGCAGGGTTAAGTGGGGAACATAGAACCCGGGAAACACAGAACCTGGGAAACATAGGGATGACCCCCATGTATGGCGCTAACCGGCTAACTAGCATCTTAAATCTGTCCTGTCATTCTTCCGGTTTCACTTTTTCAATGATGAATACTGCTGGGTTATTTCCTCTCGCGCAGATGCCGAATGTACATGCTAGTTGGTTGTTGGTTGTTGTTTTTGCGGTGTGTCCAAGTACAACTTCTGGCAAGGCACAGATGACGCAACAGGCCGTCTATGTCAGCACTAGTTCTTTAAAGTTGGTTTGATGTGTCTAGGCTTGCTAAGGGAGTTATGTCAAACAAACCAGGTTCTCTCAAATACTAAAAGAGCCTGATGCACCTTTAATTTTTTTTTGTTTTTTACCCTTTTTTTGGAGAACCATTTGTATTATTCACCTTGCTCCAGACAGCTCATTGTCACTTAACAAAGCACCATAAGGCAGCAGCAGGATGTGGCTATATTTAGAGATGACCACAGCCTAACTCTGTATTATCCATCATGGTAACAAATGAGTTTCATAGAGCAGGCAAACAGCTGCTGCTGCTGCTGCACCACTCCTCCCTGCTCTATCTGACTCTGACTGACTCTGAGTAAAGAGAGAAAAATAAGGACAGAGAGGACGGCCAAAAAGTCACAAAAAAAAACTTCTTGAAGACGTTTCTAACAGCAGTCATTTATTATTGCATCGCCTCAGGATACTGTTGCTTTGCAAGATGACACACATGACGTGTGTGAGGGATTAACTGAATGTGATTAGAGACAGCAGCACTGCTTCCCTCAATCTTGGCTGTGAGGAGCCAGGCGAGACGAAACCAGGATGTCGCTTCACGTCCATCTGCTCCTCAAGCTAATCTGTGTAGTGTGTAGGCGTACACACACACGTATGCACACATTTAAACGCACACAGAGCGTCCACTGAGATTGTCCTAATGTGTGCTTCTGGTAAACACAATATATGGCCCGTCGCCCACTCTGTTACTATGACACTGCTTTTTGGTTGAAAAGGCTTTTGTTCTCCTCCAGCTGTACTTTTCTCCGAGGAGAGGGAAGGAAATATAGTGAAAACAGGGATGAGGTTTAATGTGGTACAAAGTGTGTTAGAGAATTGGTGCAACACTGTCGCCACCGAGAGTGCCACTATGGGAAAATTGGGTGATTTTGGGAGCACATTTTGACTCTGTGTGTGCATTCAGTCTGAGCCTGTCTGCTCTGACACCATTATCTGTCTGTCTCCTCTGCCCAGATCACTGACAGGCAGGCGGGGAGGCCCCTGTTGTCCCAGACAACCACTCCACGCACCAGAATGCTAATGAAGTGTCCTATATAGAGCCAGGTTGGAGATGAGCACCAAACAAAACTTCCCTGCTGATTCGTGGCCCCTCTGCTCCGCACTCAGCAGCACTTTAAGCTCAGTGTGTCGGCCCTTAATTTTCTCCCGTGTTTAAGATGCACATGAGAAACTAGGTCAAACTTTGTTTTTAAGTGTCATTTATATTGTCTTTCAAGAGTGACTCTGACTCACCAGCGGCTGAATCAGCCATTGATCGACTCAGATTAGCTCAGCCCACTGAACATGAGCAGGAAATATAAATCTCACTGAGCTAGAAGTTTTTGTGTTTTTTGTCTGACATGTCCTGCTGTGATGATCAACAGTTGACGCAGACCAGTGGCCTGAATAGTGAGAACTCATTAACATTTCATTCTCTGCTGCTTAATGAAGCACCACTGGGCATTGATTTTACACTGTGGAGAGCCCGACAGCAGGCTTCTCCTGTTAGACGGGTGGACTGTTTTCACAGCTCTGCAGACTGGTGCAGTTTCTGGGTCACATGCTGCTTCTTTATGAATGCTGACAGTTACACTATGCATAAGGCAGTCCATATAAGTGCACACTTACCGCCACTATAGGTCCAGAGACATGATAACAAAGATGTGATGGTCTTTTCATGGCTTTTTTGTGTTGTTGTGTGAGAAGTGCTAATTATGAACCAGGTCCGACATCACTGACTACATGTCCTTTTCACTCACACTCAATTGCACACATGTACACCATAAATGCTGAGGAACAGGTAGGAGGGATTAAATGAATAGACCTTTGTCTCCAAACAAGGAAGCTGTATCACAAATAATTAGGATGGACTTGTCAAGAATTATCCATATTCATGAGATCTGGAGTGAAGCATCTATCCCGGTATCCCACACTCATTTTAATTGCAAATCAAGGCAAACAAAAGATGCTTCAAATTTTCTGTCCTTCAGTGCGTCGCCTTGGACCTGTCTGTGACCCACCACTGTTTAGCGAGGAGACAACAACTTGCAAATGAGGATGTTTTCTTGGTCTGGCTTTTAAAGCTCAGCAAAGATTGGAGCAGTGAGAGCAGTTTAGACTGACTGGTTCAACCAGAAATATTTGATCAAGCGAGTGTGTCTCACCATCTTTGCCTTCTTCTTTGCTGTGTTTCTTCAACCACTCGATGTTCTTCCTGATGGCCTCCAGGAAAGTCTCTGACTTGCCAGGCTGATCTGGTAAGAAGAGGAGAAAAAGAAATGTTCAAATCTGCCTCTTGATTGATTCAGAAAATAAAAAATAAGTGTTCTTCTTTTGCCTTTACTACTTCTGTGGTACTTCTGTGGTACTTCCACTCAGCAAGCCTTGAACTTATCAATTATTTATACCACAAAATTGTCCTAAAGCAAGATTTTATGCTTTAACTTTGAAATTTCTGTAGCAATGGGAGCACGCTGACAGCAAGGATATTTCTTTCATATTGACTTCGCAGCACAATAAAACACTATTTTCTGGCCGTGGTTTAAAAAGACCCACTCAGTGTGGAAAAGTTGGGGCTACAGTTAGTGTATAAAATCTCCAGGTTTGAGATTTAAGTTGATATTAACCACCAATTAAAATCAGACTATCATTTAACCACAGATTAAATCTAGATTAAAACACATGCCCCTGATTTTTTTGATAAATATCATATTATGCAACTCATTGCAGCCTGTTTATGTACAGATTACTGAGAGTTTAATTGCCATTGCTCAGGATTTACGTCATTTCTAACTGAAATGACTGCCTGGTGGTAATCCTGCTCTGTGTTTCGTTTTGTTTTTCCTTTTTGTATGCGTGCCTGTCTGTGTGTTTGTGTGGATTAGATTGATGAGCGGAGAGAAAATAATGACAGCTGTGACAAGCTTTCCTGTGAGGGTTATTGGACTGGCCTAGTTCAGGCACAAGCAGGGACTTAACTATGATTGGCCCTGGACTACACGGTGTTGTTCCTGTCAGCCCCGCTGAGCGAAAACAAAAGGTCGGAAATGGTCACGGCCATTACATTCAGGCTCATTTTGAAAACCTTTTACTGAGGTGGAGTGAAGAGCATTTTTTGCTTCATTGAGCTGATGTGGTGGGAATCTGAGATATGTGAGAATTCTGTGTTTATTTGGGACGTTTGACACAAAACAAAACAAAACAAAACAATGAAATCATAATGCAAAAAACAAACTAAAACAAAAAAACGAGTCATGCAATTTACACGGCACAGAGAATCAAATTGTATCAAATTATTTGGTCAAATTATCAAATCACTACACAAAAAGCTATTCATGTTTCCTCTGGTCATCAGGATTGGGGAGTGGACTGACTGGTCTCAGTTGATGGCTGCTCCTCCTTGGTCGAGTCTTTCAGGTTCTCATACTCCTTCTGCATCTTGGCGGCCTCAGCCTTCGTGTTGTCGTCCTCATCCAAGATTTTTCCTACAGCAAAGAAAAAACACATGGAGCATTAAAAATCGCTGCTACTTATAGCGGCAGTTCAACATTTTGGGAAATATGCTTACTCAGTTTCTGGCAGAGAGTAATTCACACGTTGAATTCTGTTTGTTTTATCTGTACAAAGTGTAAAAATGACAATCTGCTGTTTTATGGAGGGCTGTGAGCGGCGACTTCCTGGAGACTCTATATTTATGCTTTATAAGGATTAAACAAACAAGATAATATGTTTTTTTTGTTGAGCTTTAGAGGTGCTGGTAGGCTGATTTCATTTTCTTCTGACAGAGCCAGGGTAGCTGTTTCCCCTTCTCTTCAGTCATTATGCTAAGACAAGCTAACTGGCTGTAGCCTTATGTTTAACAGACAGATCTGATAGTGGTGTTGATGTTCTCATCTAACTATCCACCAGATTGAGTATGCCTCAATACATAGTCAGTCAAATGCAGTATGCCAAAAATACCAGGATGTTCTACAACATCCTGTCTGATTTTGCTGTATGAAAGCCAGCATGCTTTTCTGGCTATTCTGACCCACAATCCTCCACACAGCGGAAGATATGTCACATCAACCGAGCCACAAACCGATGAAAGCTTGACAGCCGATTGACAGTTCCCAGAAGTCTCAGTGATGGATGACAGCACATTCAAGTAACTGAAGATCATTCCAATAGTAATAATAGGAATATTGATTGTTTAAGTGAATAAGAGAGAGAACAGAGAACTGTAGATGTGATTTCACTGTCACAAATATAATGTTAGAATCTACAATCTGCGTAGTAATTACTTTAAAGTTTAACAGCAAAGAGGTTGATCTTTGTCTCTGGTGAGCTCAATAAGTGGCGTTTGTTTATCTCCAAGGTAACAGATATAAAAGCAAGAGGGTCAAAGTTCAGGGATTGTGTGCTTTACTGTGTATTTTTTAAGGACAGCTGCAGTACCTGCTAAAAGTATAAAGAAAAAATATGCAATTCGGAACGCACCCAATATGTTTTTGTCCTAGTCAGTGATGAAGGAAGAATTCAGATCCTTTACTGAGGTAAAAGTACTCATGCCAACCTGTAAAAGTACTCAGTTACAAGTAAAAGTCCTGCATTGAAAATGTTATTTAAGCTAATAGTTTTAGCTGCACTTGTACATTTTCATATGTTTTCTGTGCAAAAACCTTTGTAAAGTTAAGATAATTGTAGTGGAGAAAAAGGCACAATAAATCCCTCTGAAGTGTAGTGGGGTAGAAGTAGAGAGTTGCATGGGATTAAAATACTCAACTCAAGTACTCAAGTGTCTCAAATTTGTACTTCAGTACAATTCTTGAGTAAGTTGGTTTGTATATCCGAAAAGGTTTTAAAACACTTAAAGGTATGCTGTTGGTTACCAAGTGGTTTTGTCAATTAAATTATTCCCATAGGTAATAACATGATCAAACCATATTTTAAACCATATTTAACAAACCTTTTTATTCCTATACTTGCGTTACGCCCATGTATCTCCACAAAGCCTAATATACTTAATACATATGGTCACACAGAATTAAATTATATGCTGTTATAGATGTTGGCTAACTCGTGAGGCTGTTTACCGTTGGGTCCAATGAAGTCCGGAGGCCCCAGAGACTTTCCCAGCTTGTTCTTGGTCTGCATGGCTATCATAGCATCCAGGTTCTCTGCATGGGGGCGAAACAAGCCAAACATTTACTTCAGATTTGATCAGCATTATGACGTCAGTTCACTCTGCAGACAATGAATGAAAACCTCTTATCTGTTTGAAAGCCCCAGGCTGTGCCTGTGTGACTCAGTGGGTGATTATCATTAGAAAAGGGTTCCATCTAATTAATGGGAGGGAGATTCAAGAGTATGACGACAGCAAAAAACAAAATCTCTTGCACTATAATTTTCAATAATTCATGAATGCATTGTGGACTGAATATTGGGAAAGAAAATCTCTCTATTACAGAGCAGCAGTAATAGAGATAATTTATCAGCAACTACATTTATTACAGTGGGCTACGCTTTCACAACGAGATTAGAGAACATAAAAGACCCTAAATCAGCTGAGTGACACAAACAGATCATATAGTTCTCAGAGACTCAAGTCAAATGACAACTGATCCTCTCTGGATTAACAAAGGGGTAAACATTATGTCCAGAAATAGAGAGAGCAGATGTTCTGAAGATACACACACATCCCAGATAGCAGCTGAAATTTCATCCCGTATATCAAGTTACAGTTACACTTTACTTTAAGTCCCTGTGTTTAGCATGTGCAAGCCCTATTTGAACATTCAATGCATGGTTTCTAACACACTATGATGTAGTTGTGGGCAGCTATCATCACTGTTTCTCCTATAAATACATATTTTATATATACAACTGTGTTTTACTAACACTATCTGTGTCTGTTTTCACAAAGAGCTTTAGACAGCAGCTAAAGCTAATATATTGGAGCTTGAATACCATAAACAGCTAGTCACTTCTTATCTCGTTACTCCTACATCCATTTAAAGTGTACTGTTCGTTCCACTTGCCATATGTCCGTATTTATTGTACTTTACCTATTTAACCAATGTTTAGACTGATGGAATAAATGTCTTGGGACCATTTAGTAGTTAGGGTGAGGGTAGTTTAGCTTTTAGGTTCTTGGTCAGTCTTTGGTTCCTGCTTGATACATGCACGTCTTTATCTTAAATCTAGACAACGTTTTAGTAAACACAATTTAGATACTATCTGCTCAGTGTCTTAGCCCCTATTCTCAAGGTCTAGATAGTTAACCAGGGTGTCCCCTTTCACATCTCCACCATGTCTTATAAATTATACTTTTAGTGTTAGTTAGTTTTTAATGTTGCTGCTGGTAAAGGTGGAGCTCATTTAAATTGCTCTGCTGAGTGGCTCAACCTATATTATCATCTTGGGCTCAGATTGAAGCTCATGAACTTGGGGAATTTTCTATATACAAGTGAGGAAGTGACATTTAGCATAAAGTGCTGTCATTTTTAATGAGAATGTGTCAGTCAAGCTTACAGTATTTTTTTTTGTTGCCTTTTTTGGGGTGTCGCAGGCAGTATTTTAAAGTAGAATGGCAGGGTTTTTGGCCCCTTGATACCAAAAGGTCTGGAGTTGGGGATGTTCGTTTTCAACTTGTGATGGCTCAAGGTTTAGGTTGACAGGAAATAATAGTGAAAAAAAGGTATTAGAAAACATCCTGACAGCTGGTCCTGGCTCCTAGACTATATATTATAACCTATTTGCAAATGTAGATTATTGATACAAAACATAAATAAACAAAGTAACTAGTAACTGAAGCTTTAACATAAATGTGGCGAAGTAAAACTAGAAAGATTAGCATAAAATGGAAATAGCCTACTCAAGTGTAGAACAAGTACCCTTTAGAATTGTACTTCAGTGCAGTGTGTAAATGTACTTAGTTACATCCACCACTGCAGGAAGCTTATTTCAGTATAAACGTGGGCCTGTAATACTGAATAGGGGGACTAAAAGTAAAGTGCGACCCAAGCTCTTAAGAAGCACCTCTCCAATATTTAGAGTTAGAGACATTCTGGTCATTTACTTTGAGTACACCACCGTGCAAAGAGAAGAAAATATGTCTACAGGTTAGAGCAGCTGAATCAGGTCCAGATCTTTCGGGACTCTTGCACGGTGACAGGATATTAGATATCTGGATGTTAGGACACAAAGAAAACAAAGCGATAAGACGAACAGAAATGTTTGATTTCAGCGCTGTGACCGAACATCAAGGATCCAAAATGATTTCCCCTCTCATTTGCCTTCACTCGCTTTCATTTCTTATTATCTAAGCATCTCACTTGCACTTTCTGTGTATCTAAGCTGCCTCCTCCCACCTGTAGCGCTGTGGAAGCCCATTATTTCACTCTGCCCACACACACACATCAACACCATCTTTCTTCCTCCCCCATTCTCTTCCTCTACATCTCCATCTATCTTGGGGCCTGTATCACCCGATTAGCGTTGACTGACAGCCCTGTGTATTCAGTTGTGTACCTGGGTGAGTCACTGGAGCCTCACAGCCTAGGTGGGGGGAGTGAAGGTGGGGAGTGGGGGGCATTAGCTTGTTGCTAGGCGATGGCGGGATTCCGTCCTGTTATCTCCTCACAACCTATACTACATAATGCCAGGGGGGTTGCCTAGGAAACCCTAGGCTTTTGTAATGGTATACGCCTGTTTTGTTCTGGTGTGATCATTTGTTCCGCTGTAAGAGACAACACGCTGCTGGAGGTCATTTCAAAGAGCACTAATTAATCCTTCTGCAGCCTACGTAAGGTCAGCCTTAGTTTTAATACTTGATCACAGCTTTTATAGTGGCATTTACACTTTGTAAATGTGTTCCAATTGGCCAGAAATTGTATTTCTGATCCGATTAGCTGATGAATTGATTACTCAATAGACAGAGAATTTTTGATTTATCAGTTTAATTAAACGCCAAACTTTTTTTGTTGTTGTTCTAAGCTTCTCTAATTTGAAGACTGGCTGCTTATCTATGTGTTACATGACTGTAAACTGAATATCTTTCCATGTTGGATTGCTGGATAGAGAAAACAAGCAAATTGAAGACATCGCACTCGGCTCTGGAAATTTATGATGCCCATTTTTTACAGTTTAAACATTAAGTTATCGGAAAATAATCGACATATTTAGCTATAATGAACATGATTTCGCTGCCCCATGTTTTAAAGCACAACTATGTTATAAAAGAGCACATCATTTCTATTTTCTTCATGCTGGGACTGATTTGAGCAGAGAGAGAGTGAGTGCTGTTGTCTTGGGTTTCCTGAGGCTCACACAGAGAGATGACAGCTGTCCCTTACAGGTGGCTGACCTTTCCACTGGCCACTGATGTGATGGCCAGCCATAAAAACTAGCCTGGTTATACAGGGTGCCCCTGACACTAATCTGTCCGTGCAGGCTTTACACTCCACTGCACCAGCTGATAGGGAACATTAGCTCGGCTGAACACACAGAGAACACGAGGAAAAAGCACATACATAAAACACAGAGGCAGAGAAGTGCGTGTGCGCTGGCGGCTAATGCAGTGGACGGATTCAGACTTAGATTTGAAACCTTTTATCCACACATATACCACACATACTGTTCAACATGGTTGGAACCAATATCACATTACTATGAATATGTCAGCCATGTTTAACTGTAATGCTTTAAATCAGCGATACTCTCAGTAAATGTAAAACAAAACCTCCTTTTTGTTAGTTTAGGTAACATTAGTTGGGAATTATTACTTTAGACAACATCATTTTGTTGATATGATCATATGATCATGATTCCACAGAGAGCAGATATATAATAGTATGACAAAATAATCTCAGTAGCCCAGAACGGACAAACACTGGGTCTAGATAGGGCCGTTTGTGTTTTCATTACAGGACCTGTAGTTTGCAGCCTCTTCGCAACAAGCTAACCAGCGTCGGGAAAAAAAGCACAGCGTACGTAACCAGGTCCATTTGTTTTGGAGAGGTTGAGGCCCTTGCAGATAATTTGGCTCCTGTTAAAAACCTCCTGAATGTCTGGATCTTAAGTTATCAAAGAAAAAAGTTAAGCACACATCAGCAGGCACTGGGCTAGCAGCTGTCTCCAACATGTTGAGCAGTGTCAGAGAGACACTGATTTGTAATGCGAAGCTGCTTTATTCAGTGTTTTTCACTGGTTTAAATGACCTGGTCCAGTTGTTTCTGAGAGGAAGTGACCTCTGAGGATAATTCGGCTCCCAATAAAAATCTCCTGAACAATTAACACTTAAAGAATAAAGAATTCTAACCAGGAGTTCACGTTTGACACAGGGGAGAAGTTTCAGCTGGTTGGAAGTTGCAATCCTAACAGCTAGATGCCACTAAATCCTGCGTACTGCTCCTTTAAATCAAGGTCTACAGTACTAGCTTTTATGGGAGATTTTATTGGACTCTTTCCTGGACTTTTCAACCACATCATGAGCGTTATATTTGGGTTGAAAGGTTCAGAGGAAGCTAATAAATGGAACTATTTCCAGGGTCAAGAATGAACTGTTACATGAAAAATACACAATATCATTAAGTCAGCACCCTGCCCTATGTATACTGTGCATTAAGTTATTTACCACGAATGCAGCAAGGTCTTCGATGACTGTGGCATGTGTCATACAATTCTATGCTTGCTGCTCTGGCACTGAATGTACCAGACTACAGATAAACAGTGCTGTTATTGTGTTATGTCTTACCCAGATAGGACACTCCCTCCTCTGGCGTGATGGTGCCGTACTTCACCATCATCCTCACAAAGTCTATCAGTGTCTTCATGATGGTGATCAATGTCTCTCTTTCTTGAGTGTCTTGATCTGCAGCGGCAAACCAGGGAGCAAATCCAGCATTAATGCTCAGCTAATGGTAATTGGCTACCGTGGCGTTAATGTTACCACATGGTGTTTGACTGTGGGGGTCATGATGAAGGGATTATAAATAATTAGTGATGTGTGTGTGTGTGTTTTATCCACACTTCCTAGGAAGATGCGTCAGGGAAACAAAGGCGGACAAAACAAGCACTGACTCATCCTTGAGAACAATATTGCCATGACAACAACGGCTCTCTAGCCCTGTTCTTGATCTGGAGAACTTCTATCTTTGGATGAAGGATGCTGTGAAGCGATGATGTTTGTGTCTTTGATCTAAACTGTCAAACGAACCTCGGGGTGTGTGTGTGTGTGTTTTTACCTGAGTCGAGGCTCCTGAGCAGACGGTAGAAGTTGGGGAAGTACTGCAGGTCCTTGAGCCCGTCTTCGGGACTCACCTCGTTGCCCTCTTCTTTGTCCCAGTTGTTGTCGGCTGTGTCACCTCCCTCTTCTTCTGCATCCCTGTCCACCTCGTCCTCAGTGTCGTCATCATTTTCTTCCTCATCCTCTTCGTCTTCATTGTAGCGGCGTCTGGGTGGCCCCCACGAATCCTGGAGAAGCCAGAGTTTTTTGTTGTATTATTGTCATCCTTATTGTTATCATCATTATCACTTCTTTGCAGGTTTTTACCCTGTTCGCGTCCGAACCCTGGTCGTCCTGCTGTCCTCTGGTTTCTTGGTTGTTGCTTTCAACATCTTCAATCTCATTGTTCTTGGCGTTTTCGGTGATGAGATCCTGGAGTGCCTCAGCCACCTGGTACTCCAGAGTATCCGCCTGGCTGTCTGTGATCTACAGAAAGACAAAAAGACTGAGAACAATTGTTTGTAATAACAAATGTGCTGTCAGACGTGTTAGAACAGAACAGCGTGCACTGACTATAAACCTCTTTGTATCACATATCGATCACTGTCACTGAGAGAACCATCTCAGGGAGCAATTTGGACTCCGCCAAACTACTTATTGAGTGTCAAAAAAAAGTAATTTACAGCGGAAATCATGGAACAAAGTACAATTCACACATCTCTTCCTCTGCTGGTGAGGAGACAGGGAGTGCAATGAGAGAGACAGTTCCTGTTGAGTAAATGTAACGCTACACGCTGTGTCGAATCGAGCGGCACACAAGCTAACAACCTACCAGCCCCAGTTTGAGCAGTTTTGAGACGATCCTGTCGAACACCCCTCTGTCGTCCTCCTCGTAAATCTTGTTTGCGATCTTCTGGACAATGTCCTCTGCTGTCAGCGGAGTGCCGTCGACCTGGCGGAAGCTTTCTGGGTCATCTGAAAGGAAACAACACATATGTCATCATTTGTAACTTCCTAAACATGCTTATTAGCCACAGAAAGCAGGTGTTTGTGCTTTAATGCTTAATCTGTTTGACTGTTTATTCTCTCCTCCTTCCTCTTCTCTCTATTGTTGAAAAAAATGTGTTAAACCTGGAACTAAAAATGAAGTCTCTCTCTCACTATGTGGCAAAGATAATTTTGTCTTCTCCTCCTCATATTCAACATATCTTTATCCACATGACTGAGTAAGAAATGTGCAATTGTTACAGCTTGACTCTTACATAACAGTCCCTGCTGCTCCTCAAGGTCCACGCACAATAAAAATAAGCAGTGCTGGAATACTTTTGCCCATATTGGCAGGTTGACTCATCGGTGATGTACTTTACCTTCAAACAACGGGCCTATTTCTGTGTCACTAAAGGAAATAAGAAATGAAATCCAGACTGCGCTTGCCAAATTTAGATGTAGCGTAACCTGACGAGCTGCTTGTCATTGCCGGGCCGACCGCATGAATCGATGAAGTGTAGCACTCAGCGCTTTGTGCCTGAGTCACCTCACCTCAGAGACTCTGCTTTATGCTGATGACTGGACTGGATATCAAATTACATGCGTGTACAGTGAAATGTGTGCTGAGCTGATGAAATCTATTGAGACTCAAAATCTGTGTCAGCATGATTGGATTTTGAGTGAACTATGAAATATGGATTCAACATTAATGGTCCCTGTCTTTCAGAAAAAATCCCAGCCATGCATTAAAGAGTCTCCTGTGAAGACAGCGAGCTGGTACCGCAGCATAAGCTTTCACAACAGTGTCTGTGAGGAAGAGGATAATCTCTCCCTCTTGCATTCACGTGTCCTGTCTTTGACTCTTTCTATCTGTCTCTGCTTATCCCCATCACACACACGTGTTTCCTCTGCCTATTCTGTCTCAAAATGTCTGCCTGGTGGCCTGCCAGCGACAGTCAGAAGCATCTTGCATGAGGCCTGCCCTTGGCATTGGGGGGCAAAGGTCACACAAGCAGAAGGAGTCAGACCCAAACAGTGGCCTATATGGGCAAGATGCATGGTGACAGGTGTGCGTACCCTGGTACTTGCCGTAGTCCATCCCATTCTTGGTGGAGTCGTAGTCCTCAGCCAGGCGCCGGCTCTTGGTGGAGTCTGACTCATCTGGGACGTACTGGTCCTCCTTCTTGAGCGGCACCTCAGTGGTTTCCTTTGATTTCTGGCCATCAGCCAGTGACTTCAGCACGGTGAAGTCATCAAGGTCCTGCTCTGACTCTGCGTCCTTGGAGGCAGAGGGACGCTTGCTCTCTGAAAAGGCAGCAGACACGACATGATCAAACTGGAAAAATACAACTGCAGATGAACACATTAATATGCTTCTAATAGTTTTTTTTTCTCGATACAGACGATGCCTGTTTTACTGGAAGTGCTGCAACATGAACCCATCCAGCAGGCGGAAATAAAGTCATTAATTGATTGGCAGTAAGGTTTCCTCTTACCAGCTGACTGCACCGCAGCCTTCACGCTGTCTGCCTCAGCAATCTGGAGGAAATGATGAACATTAAAGAAATAATTTCCACTCAGGATATAAGATCTGATTAATAATGTTTGCTGGGCTAATACCAAGGTTGTTTGACAAGTGACCATAAAGCTCATTTGACTGGATATTGGATGAGGAAATTAGCTTTGGGGCATGGAGGAAGAGAGCTTACCTGCTCTTGTAGGGGCCTCTCTTCTGTCAGCTGTCTGTTGTACACAGTTTTATCTGCAACATAAAAAAACATGTACTTACTAAACTGGTGGCTGAAAGCAGACTCGGGTTTTACATGTTACAAATGTGAACTGCACATAAATAAAAACGTTTTAACAAATCCATGATGAGATCATTTACTTCCATTAAAAGTGTCACAATTTTTAAAACCGTGAATTATGTGTTTCTTGTCATTTGAATACATTTGTATCTGTCAGATGTGTGTGTCTATTTCTGCTCTCCTAGCTCACCATGCACCACAGAGGCAGAGCTTAACCGGATTATCAAACAAAAGATTAAACTGCGTCGAAAATAGACCACAAGCGGCCATAACATGCGAGCAGGAGTCATTAAAAACCCCGCCAGTCACTGCTGAGCTGGAGCTGAACTTTAAAGGCACTGCTTTGTGCTCTATTTTTTCTTAATCAACAGGTTTATGGATGAATAAAATAATGTAGCTCCCAAACAGTACAGGCAACAAAACATTATAAAACCTATGTACAAGGATAAACAGTAACTGCTCAGTAATTTCCAATAAACATCCCTTTAACTGCTCATATGACCTGAACAAGATGTACAAGTGTGATGGTAACATTTTGTGTCTCTGCAGATATTTTAATGCTTTTAAAGGATTAGATTATCAATATTTTTTTTATGATACACTTTAGGTATTTTGAATATAGGGAGCCATGTGTGCTGAACAAAGAGTGCTGTGACCTTATTGCACTTTGTGGTGCTTTTAAAATCTCCTGCGTAATCTCCTGCCTCCAGCAGCAGTTCTCAATACTATTTTTACATTAATAAACATAGTATTCCACAAACAAATGCTTTACATTACATGACTATAATCTCATGGTTAGAGGCGATGGCCAACTCACCATCCGTTGAGGCTGTAGGTGTGGGGAAGGCAGATATCTGGCTCACTACATTCAGTGCTAGAAGCTGGAAAAGGACGAAAAGGCCAAAGTATTTTGACGCCATCCTGAAATCAGCTGTCTCGGAGTGTCCAGGAGGAAGATATATCCCGGCTGCCTTACTGTCCGTGGTCCGGTTCCCTCCTCCAAAGTGCTGAATGTGTGGACAGCTCCGCTCTGCTCCGGCCGGCCGCTGGTGCTGAAACTGCCGTGGAGGCTGCGCCTTGGAGTACCCGCTCTGTGAGACGCACCGGGCGGGGAGGGGCTGGCCAAATCTCCGGCGTGCACTGGAGCTGTTGACGAGGCGCGGTGCTGAAACCAGGTCACCTCTCTATTATTATAACCAGATAAGCAGGGAGGCTCTTCAAGCCCCGTGTGAGCTCCTGCATCACCTGCCAAGGCAGTAATAGAGCCCACTACAACAGGACCTGCCCCCTCTGTCCTTACAGAGGAGGAGGAGGAGGAGGAGAGGGAGGAGGAAGAGGAGGTGAACACTGCAAAAAGTGTCCATCCTGCCAAGACATTTCAGCTAGTGTTTAGTCCTGAAAATAATTTTTGTTCATTGTTTATCAGGGGGAATAATATATAAAAGCAATTGGATGATGATGATCTGACACATTTCTGGTGCCAAAAAAAAATCAGAATTAATTAAGATTTATTTTGAAATAACTAGTGAAGAAAATCTTTTTTTGCAGAAACATCCTAAGAAAGTGAGGCTGCTCTGAAGTAAGCACCATCATTGTCTGATTAATGTTTGACCCAGAGTAGGAACAAAACGCTGAGTTGATTATTTTTCGCAGCGTTTGAGGAGAAAATCCGCCCATCCCGTGCGTCACACACAACCTGCGTCATGGTTGTAGATCTTCCACTGGCCGGTCAATAGCAACCGTTATTAAAAAGGCAAACAATTAGACACGTAAACAAAAGGAGGGGAGATATATTAGTCCAGTTTTATGGTCGCCTTGCTTTCACAGGATCAGAGTATCGCTAATTAGATGCAGGCTGACGTCTCTCATGGATGATTCAAGTGTTATTGGGTTCAGTTTCCAGCGGCCTATTCAGTTCCCAAAAGTGAAGCTTCCAACAAAACCAAGTGGTTTAATTTCCCACTTCTTTTATTAGACTTTAGCAGGAGGAGAGCAGAAGAATAATTTGCTCCCAACTCACGACACTGCACTTATTATAATAGCAATAGAGATGACTTCAAATAGGAGTTCCTTGAAATCTGTAATGTGAAAAGAAAGCATCAGATATGAGGTAAAATCATGAAAAAGCTTGTCATACAGAACATTAACAACTCATTTCATTTGTCAGGATGAAAGGAAGTGTGGGACTCTCACAGCAGGCTGCATGGATGCAACGTGGAAGTCATTAGTAGCATCAGGACATATGATTTGGATGATGTGGTGTGTCACTGTTAATCCTCTGGTTTATGAAAGCCTCATGTCTGAGAATAAAATGCATTTGTGACAGGATATTCCGCTCTCAGAGGAGTCATTTCGCTTCACAGCATACATTTGCCAGTCATAATGACAAGTAAACTGAGATGAACTTATGTTACTTTCCTTACTTCCTTACTTATGTTACTACCTTACTACATATCAAGGGGAAACACTGGACCTTTAACTCACTTTTTGACACTTATAGTTACTGTTTATGTTTTAAAAAGTTACCATAAAACTTCAATTAATAGCCCAGACTATTATTCGCTTAAATCACTGAAATCAGCAGGCCTATATTTGGGACAGGCCTTTGATTCCTTTCACACAAAAACTGTTAATCAGCAAAGGTGGGAAATATAATTAAATTGTTTATTTAAACCATCCATCCATCCATTTTTGTAACCGCTTGTCCTCTTGAGGGTCGCGGGGGAGCTGGAGCCTATCCCAGCTGACATTGGGTGAGAGGCAGGGTACACCCTGGACAGGTCACCAGACTATCACAGGGCTGACACATAGAGACAGACAACCATTCACACTCACTTTCACACCTACAGACAATTTAGAGTCACCAATTAACCTGTATGTCTTTGGACTGTGGGAGGAAGCTGGAGTACCTGTAGAAAACCCACGCTGACACAGTGAGAACATACAAACTCTGCACAGAAGGGCTCCCACCTGGGATCAAACCAGGAACCCTCTTGCTGTGAGGCAACAATGCCACCCTCCACACCACCGTGCTGCCCTAATTTAAACCAGTATTGACCAATATTTAAATGAAGTAGCACCCATGATTAAATGAATCGGCCTAATGAACAAAAAACAACTGTTCACTCCTGGAATTATTTTATGATTTCATACCTTGCAGTAATTTCCTCAATGAATGTTTCATTTTACTTTTTTATAATCATTCATTGGAGGGCATTTTTTCAGCCAAGGACACACAAGTGACTACCTCTGCTTTTCAAAATAAGAAAACAAGGTCTTAACAGTAGATACAAGTACAAGTAGATACAAAATACATGTGGAAATATGATTCATTGGATTATATATTGCAGGATGTATAAAAATAGGTGTGGATAGTGGCCCACTTTTGAAAATGTTGTCCCCTGAATGTAAACTAACGGCTGGCCTGTTCATCAGTTTTCTGTTTTATCAGTGTCCCTTGATTTGTTTGTGTTTGTACAGTATGAGCCATATGGTCGCTGCTCAAATCAGCAGTGGATCCGGCTGATATCCTGGCTATGATACCCGTCAAATGGTGTGCAGACTCCACCTAGTTGGTGCACCGCAGGTGTATGCCACCCTGGTGCAAAACAACTGTCTTAGAGTCCTTGTCTCTGATTGGATGTTTTCGTACAGGGGTAGTTGATTCTTGCAAATGCCATTAGCAACACAGGAGCAGCCATATGAACATGATTTTTTCACAGACTATCTGTCTCATGAAGAACTGTCAGGATATATTGACAGTTAAAAAGTAAAAGTTACCTCCTGTAGCTTCAAGTAACATTTTGAATTCATGACTTTTACTTGTAAGGACGTATGTTTAAACTATGCTTTTCTACTGTTGCTGAAGTGAAGGATCTGAGTTCTTTGTCCACCACTGAGCAGAGTAAATGTAGCTGTGATTTAATGCTGTTTACTGTCAGTTGTTCTTTTCCCTACACAGAATGTAGGAGGTTTGTTAGCTTTGACCCTGTTAAGATTTAGTACCACTGTTGGCTGGCTGTGTGCCATTAGTGGCTTAAGTGTGTGTGTGTATTTGTGTGTATCTTTGTTTGTGTATGTGTCCTATCTGTTACTGCTCCTTGCTTCTATAGACTATAATACAACAGGATGATGCCAAGAGCAGACATATTGTCCTGTCATAGTAGGGAAAGCACAAGTGTTACTAACAACCTCTATTCAAAGCAGCATCCACAGCACCAGGACCCTGACATTTCATTCACATCTGTGCATCTGTGTTCCCACCATAGAAGGTCTACACAACACAAAAGGCCCCATGTCTTGCAGGTGTTTTCAATCACTCTGCCTGATTAGACCTTCAGTCAGGTTGAAGCTGCGAGAGGTGCAGCAGCACTAACAGGACAGTGAGGAAGAAGTCGATTAAGCTCAGTTTGTTCACGCCCACACAGTGCTGAGAAGAGGTCTAATCAAGCAACATAAGTGAATACAGCTGTGCAGATACCTCCACCACACAGAAAAGAGTACACAGTATTGATGAAAACGTATTGATGCCATTTTTTAAAACATAGAATTGGGAAGGATTGTGATTGCTGTGTAATGTTGCTGTTGTTCAAAGGAAGGTTTCAGTGAATGAAGTACAGTGCTTTATTCACTACAGGTATAATAATAACAGAATACACAATGAAATTCAACACATGAAATGAAACATGTTCAACAGTGGACAACATGCAGAGCAGTTGTGATGTGATATGGTGTAGCTTAACTGATCACATTAGTCACAATGAGCTGCTGTGACCGTGAGCAGTATGTGTTACTGGGACTCACACACAAGGGTTTCTGGGTAATGTAGTATGTGCGAAAATAAGCTAAGAGAAACAAAACCGAGAAGCTGCATGCTGGTCAGTTTATGTTAGACTGTGATCATGTTCAATAAATGGTTGAGTTCAAGAGCATGAGTCAGTGAACTTCATGATAACAGTAATTAAAGGCTTATACGGGGGTGGACAAAATAACAGGAACACCTAAAATTAAAGGAGATGTATGCAACATTCATACACACCACAATTTGGTATGTTAACATATTGTGGAGTAATGGCGTCCTGAGAAAAGAATTAAGTCTATCTCTGTGTGTGGTGTAATCTGAGCTTCTCTGCTCTTTGTTGTGATAGACAGTGGGTGCGGTTACATGATGGCTTCTCATTCAGAATGAAATAAATCTGAATGAAATCATTCGGAATTAAAGTTTTTCCAGGTAGTTTACATGGGAAATATTCATTCCGAATGAGGGTTTACACGGGAGATCAGTTTAATTGCCTTTTAATCACCTGTCCGCGCAAGGTTTGGGGCAGGGAAGGTTTCTGATTGGATAGGGGGCGGGGCGGATGTTACGTGTTTACGTTTACCGAAAGAAAACACTGTAGTCCTCGTTCAGGACAACAAGATGCTTGAAGACGCTGTTCTTAGTGCCTTTTTCAGGCTTGTTTTGCTAATATTCTTGAAGCAGCAGTACAACAACAACCTTGTTCTACTAATACTTCGTCTGTTGAGGAGGAGAAGGGAGGAAGAAGATCAAAGAAGGGAGACAGATGACTGTGCTTTGGCGAATGGAAACCGGTTAGTGCAATGAGTCTGACGGCTCTATCTCAGCCCGTTGCTATGCGCGCTGTATACGTCATCGCGGCAGAAGGGCAAGGAAACGAGCATGCACAGAAAGACCGGAATTAACTTCAGTCGCATTGGTCATGTTCATTCCGAATTAGGTGTTTACAAGATCACTTTTAATAGGAATGAACTTTCATTCTGAATGAAAAAGGAATTAAACTGTCCATGTAAACCCACTCAGTATGGTGCATGCTAGTGCATGTGTGTGTGTGTATCCCACAGGCTATAGCAAACTCTGCACTGTGTTCAGTTGCCTCTAACATAGTCCAGACCCACCCTC